CGTGACGTCACTAACCAGTAGGTGGCAGTAGTGTTCTTTGACAAACATGGATGCCTCCAGTAAAGCACATTCACATGAAAATTACTCTGAATTAAAAACACTGATCATTTATTGAACAGGATGGAATAATTTCATATTTAAGTTTGAATTCTGAATATGAGCGGACTGTTCCTTTAAAAACATTTTCACATAAATTCTACACGTTTTATCAAATGATGTTAGATTTTCCAATTATGTCTGGTTATTTATTCATCTGTTTTGATTCTGAGGTCCTTGTGTAGATATTTTTTTTAACCTACAGGTGAAGTCGGTTAAGAAAAACTGATCCAAAGCAACATTTAATGGAGTAAATCTGCTGATGTAGGTAAATGCATCAGAAATTTCCATCTGTGCTTTTCGTGTTGCATTTGTCATCCAGGATTTTGAAGCGCTCACCCCTAACCTCTTGGCCCGGACTATTGAGACGGTGGAAGGAGGAGGAATCGTGGTGATTCTCCTCAGGACCATGAACTCTCTGAAGCAGCTCTACACAATGACCATGGTAGGCCTGGAGCTGATCTTACTGCCGCATCAGTTCCCCAGTTCAGATGAGCATAGCTTCCTTTTCCCTGCAGGATGTTCACTCCCGATACAGGACTGAGGCTCATCAGGATGTAGTCGGCAGGTTCAACGAGAGGTCAGTGCTGCTCCATCTTTTTTATTAAAATATTTTCAATTACTGGAACAAAAATGATTTAATCCCGTTGTGTTTTTAAGATTCATCCTGTCCCTTTCATCTTGTAAAAACTGCGTGGTCATCGATGACCAGCTCAACATCCTGCCCATTTCCAGCCACATGGCGAACATCAAGCCCGTCCCTCCAAAGACTCAGGTACTCCTGCTGTGGGAAATCCACGTCGGTTTGGTCTGCAAACACAATGAAACTGTTTGGGAACAAGTTCAAAAAACCTGAACTGATTTTGTTTTTAAGCTAAAACATCAAATATAAAGATATATTTAGAATCAGAATCTAGTTTATTACCAAGTAGGTTTGCACTTCACAGGAATTTGAGTTTATGTTGATGGTGCAGACAAATTAGATATATGTACAGAATCTATAGCTTTATACAATATAAAACATACTAAATATGTGTGTGTGTATGTATATATATTAATCCTATGGTGAACATATGTTAAAAGCCTTAAAATAAATACATTTTTATATTGCAGTCCTATAATCTCACATTAAAAAGTGTCTCTTCCTGCAGTTTTAGTTCAGGTCAGATGTCAAGTTGGAGCTCTGCAGTGGCTCTGCTGTCTTTCTGTTGCATCCATCAGTATAATCGTTTTAGATGAAATCAAAACTTGCATAACTTTTTTTCTTTTATTGTTGATCTCTTTGTTACTTTTTCCTAATGAACTAAAACTCCACAGAAAAACCAGTTCAGTCTACTCTACATCTGAAAGTTTTCCTTCAGAGTTTTAAACGGTTAGACGTTAACGGGTCACCATCTTCTCTTCAGGAGGACGGTTTATCTCCCAGAGAGCAGGAGCTGAAGGACATTAAGGAGTCTCTGCAAGACACCCAGCCTGTCGGCGTGTTGGTGGATTGCTGCAGGACCATGGATCAGGTCAGCTGCTCCGCTCAATGTTCTCACACCCAGTAAAATGAATAAAAATCAGTGTTCATTGGCCAACGCTCTACGTTCAGGAAGGAAACCAAGCAAATGAGAAACATCCTTGGGGTTAGGAAGCTAATGGAATGTCTAAAATATTTACTGATCATTTAGTGGTTTACTCTGAGTTGTTTGGTTCTAGGTTTGATAATGTGATATATTCTTTGAAATTAGGTCAGCTGACTCT